CTGTTTAGTCTATGAGCTGGTAGGTGGTATTTGTGGTGAGATTCAACCACACCCTGTATGATGAGTCAGTAGGTGCCATGAAAAGGGTAGCAGGGTGTCTTCCCTTCAGTGTGTGGAGCTTGCTGCGAGGAGCCGCTACACTGTTGTTTTGGGGTCATGTATCCAGTTTTTGTTCCTCTGGAGAGGCACTCTTGTGCCTTAGGTGGTGGGTAGGGCCCTGGGACTTCCAGGTGTGCTTATTCTCCACCTCAGTGAGGTCTGGTCTGGGAGTGAGTCTGGGCAATGCTGGGTTGGGTAAGCCTGCCCTTAGGCACCACCAATGTCGTTAGCAGGGGTCAAAGTTCTCTTCTCTGCTTCCTTCCGGGAAAAGCTGTCAGGGAGGGGCTGGAATGGCCCCACTCAATCAGAAAGTCTACATGTGGGGGTGGGGCCATCTGAGACCTGCAGTCTGGAGGAGGCCTCACTTCTTTCCACCCTCCCCAACTCCGCAGCTACTCCTGGGCCTCTGCCAGGAGGCCAGACTTCACGCCCCAGGCCTCCCCTGCCTGTGATGCCAGCTGGGAGGTTCCCTGTGTAGGATCGCGGCCTGGGCTGGGCACACAGCCCCCCTTTGGGAGGAGGGTTGCCCTCTAGGATGCTGATCTGCCCCTGAAGGCACACACGCCTCAGTAGGCTGTTCATGGTTATCCCTTCTGTGCCCCAGGCAATGTGAGACCTGGGTGCACGGGATCTTGTCGGCAGGTCTGACATCTGGGCCCTGGAGTTCAATCCCTAACCCTACCAGGGAGAGGAGTGCCAGTCCTAATTTACCCATCGGAGCCCAAGATGGGTCGATGTCTCTCAGCCTCAGGGTCTGCCTCGTTCTACTGGAGTCACTGGGCCAGCAGCACCTGGGAGGGCTGGTGTGTAGGGAGCTCACCGTCTGAGTATCCCTCAGTCAGCTGTAGGGCCCCAAAAGGGAAGGTACTGTTCCCTGGAGGTGCCTCCAGTTGGTGGCTATATTGTCTCTCTTGGCAGCCGTGGATAGGGACGGGGGAGGGGAGAATGAGGCAATATGGCGCCTGCCGCTCGGGTCTGTGCACACAGAGGTGCCCCGAGGGAGTTGGGAGCCTGGTGCTGCATCCGCTATAGGCTTACCGCTCACTGGTAGTGGCCGTCTCTGGGCTGGTGTCTGCAGGTCTCTCCACCTGCTGGGGAGCCCACCAGCAGTCTAAGATGCAAGGGAGGGGAGATTTGACTGCTTCATCTATCCTTGTCTCTAGTCTCCAGGCTACTCAAGAAGTCTCTGCTTCCAGTTCTCCTCCACAAGCTCTTCCCGTGGAATCTCCCGTAGTCTCCGGTACCCCTCCTTCCGACCCTCGGCCAATGTATGCTCGTCTGCTTGCTTCTTTCTTCTAATTTTCCTAGAATCTGTCTTTTCTGCAGAGACACTCTGTGTGGTGGTGATTCTCGGCTGCCATCTTGCTCCACCCCCCGAAAGTTGACTCTTTCTTGATGGGAGGAACTGGAAAGTCACATTACAAAGTGATATGGTTACAGGGAGGGAAATAATTGCAGATATCTGTGTAATCTATCACACTCCTCACACCTGATGCAAGTCCTTGTAGATTAAAGGCTTAACTATGAAAGGAAAAATTAAAATTTTAGAAGATCTTATAGGGGAGTATAGGACAGTGAAGAGTTTTAAAAATAAGATACAAAAGGAAACAAGATACATAAAGGAAAAACTGTATACACATTAAACTTGCCATAATTAGTGTGAAAGGACAAGTCACAGAATGAGTAAAGATTTTTTTTTTACACATGATTTGTCTCAAGACTATTAAGAGGTCTCCTATAAATCACTATGAAAAAGACAGAAGATCCAATAGAAAAAAATGAATAAATATATAAACAAGAATTTTACAGGCAAGGAAACACAAGTGGTCCATAAACATAGGAAAAAAATGTTTAACCTTAACCTTATTAGTAATCAGAGAAATACAATGAAAACTATGAGCTACCATGTAGATACCCACTAGATTGGAAAAATGGAAAAGTGGAACAGTATCAAATGCTGGCTGGAATGTGAAGCCTGAGAATGCTCATCCTCTGCTCAGGGAGATGTTGATTTGCATCACTACTCTGGAAAAAGTTTGGCATGATAGAGTGAAACTTAAATATGCACATATTTTATAATTCTGCAATTCCATTCCTGGATTTATACACCAGGAAAAATGTACACAAATGTACAAGAATTCTTGTTCATAATAGTCCCAAATTGGAAGCAACCTGAATGTCCATCAAAGGTGAATTGGTTTTATAAGACATGGCACATTCAAACAATGGAACACTGTATAATAAATAAAATGAATGTGTTACAGCTACAAAGCATATCAAAACCATAAGCTGATCAGAAGAATGAAATTGATATGACCCTCATTTACATAAAATTTAAAAACAAGAAAAGTAAGCAATACATTTGTAGTCAAAGAATATATACACATATAATGAAATTATGCAGAGAAGAGAGTGATTAACCTAAAATTCAAAATGAAGGTTGTTGGAAAAGGCATAAAATATCTTCTAGTGAACTAGTAATATTTTATTTCTTAGCCTAGATATTGACCACACAGGTGTTTATCTTGTTATTTTAGTTCAAACTGTACAGCTATATTTTACATACTTCTATGTGTATGATATATCATGTACACATTCAGCTGGGATCTTTCCTACCTAATTTACAGATCCCAGCAGTGAGGCACCCAGGGAAGTCCCTCCTGCTGGCAAAGCAGGAATGAATAATGTCTGATATGCTAGAAATCTAAATTGATCTTGACCTTCATCTCCAGCTTGATTTACTCCCTAACTGGCTGCTAGTGTTTCTGCTGACATTGCACTTGATAGTGACTATCTCTGACACCACTGGCATTGCACGATACTCCTTCACTGGTGTTAGTTCACGAAGACTAGCTACAAAATAAGAATTACAGTTTACTTAAAAAAAAATGAAATCCACTTTAAAACAAAAATACCCTTTTGCTTATCTTTGATGGAATATGTCTCTATCTCCTCTACCAGCAGCCAGTTGATTCAGGCAACACTTTAAATGATGGCATGCAGTATCTATTATTTTTTTTAATGCACTCCAAATACATTTTCTGTTTTCCTTTGGTCTACACAATAATGATGATAGTTAGTGTAAGTAGAGATTCCCCAGATAACTAAACTTCCCTAAATTCTCTTTAAGAGGAAGACACAATTATACTTCATTACTCTTATAAAGTAGCTTCTTCTCTTCTTTATTTTCTTGAAGAAAACTTAGTTGGCTGTTCTTGGGTCAATCCAAAGTATGCCAGCCTTTGAAAGCTTTTGTTCATGTGGTGTACATTTTCTAAATTTTCCTTAAGAGTCAATTTCTTAAATAAAAGAAAATCGCCGTGCTGCTAATTATTTGATTCATTTCTGTTAATCTTTTCTTCTCTGTTCTTCTCTGTAATAAATTCCTAGTTACTCTGAAGGCTAGGGGGGTATGGATTTCAATTTGTTCAAACTTTCTGATTGACTGTGAGTCACAATGAGAGTCACACAGGGAATTTGAGTATACTAAGTCCCCAGTGAAATAAGGAGACTGCAGTTGTATCTTTTACTGAGGATTCAGAAAACATGTCAGGGTATTTCAGTGCCCTGGATCATTCTGAATATTCAATGATCATCACGTAGGGTATTTGTTACCCGTTGCTGCATTAGAGATTACCCCCAAATGTAGCAAACATTATCTTACAGTTTCTGAGGGCCAGGACTCTGGGACTGGCAGCCAAGCTGTCAGCAGGGCTGCAGGCTCATCTGGAAGCTCAGGTGGGGCAGGACCTGCTTCCAAGCTCACTCACAAGCTCCTTGCTTGCTGTTGGCTGGGGACCTCAGCTGCTTGCTGTGTCTGCCTTTCCACAGGCTGCCCAAGTGGCTTCACGACATGGAAGCTGGCTTCCTCTAGGGTGAGTTATGAGAGAGAGAAACAGAGATCGAGAACCAAGGGGAAAGCCACAACCTTTTAGAACCTCATCTTGGATGTGACACACCATCACTTCTGGAACAATGTGGGAGGGGACTGCACAGGGTGTGACTATCAGAAGATGGGAATTGTTGGGGCCCTCTTGGCAGCTGGCTACCACAACAGAATCTATAACAGAGTAACTTCTTTTTACAAAAATTTCTTGGTTGTGGTAAAAAGAAACACTTAACAAAAGTTACCAGTTTAACCATTTTTAAGTGGTTTAGTCGTGTTGAGTATACTGACATCATTATACATCAGATCACCAGAACCTTTTCATCTTGCAAAATGGAGTAATTTCTTATAGCTGTATTTCTTATTGATCCGATGCAGATGGATGGCATTACACTGATTTTGTGCTCTGTTTTGGTTTTAGTTACTTATTCTTCCTACCTGTCTGTGCTATACTGACTTATTAGCCCCATATCTCACCCTTCACTATACCCACATCCCTTGCTCTGCAAACCCCTGTATGTAGGTCTATGCTCTTTGGCTTTGGGCTTGGCCATCTGACTTACTCAGGCCTATGGTATGTGGGCAGAAAGTCACGTTTCCTGCCTGACATCTTGTGGTTCTCTCTTGGGAAGAATTTGCCCTTGGTAGGTGTTGCCCCCTGAGTCAGCTGTTGCCCCCCAGAATTGTCACATGTAGGACAGATCTAAGCCCAACCCACTATGAGGAGCCCCAGCTAGCTGGCCCTTCACCTTAAAGCTGAGCTGCCCAGGTGAGCTCAGCCTGGACCAGCTGCCTGCTGGTCAATCAGCACATATGTGGGTGGGCTCAGCTGAGAGGGCAGAGCAGTCCCTGGCAAGGTGAGAAATAGATGCCTAATGCTGTATGCTGCTCTATTTTGAGGTTGTTTGGGACAAAGCATTAGATCACTGGCATTCTGCTTTTCCCACTCTGACCTCTGTCCCCATGGGCTCCAAACACACTCACATATGCCACATGTTTTTCCCTCCTATTTCAGGAAAATCCCAGGACAGCACAGAAAAACTGCCCTCCAAACTGAGGTGGGACTCAGAATCCAAAGATATGACTCAGACAAATCTAGCTTGGTGAGTTAGGTGAGTTTACGAGAGGTGACGCGCACAGGGCTCTCATTCCCAGTCAAGACAGAAATCCTCGGGGCACTTGCTCTTGGGCGGCGGCAGGAGCTCTTCAGAGAGTAAGATGCGCACTGCCTATCTGTTTGTGGAGCCTTAAATTCCTTTTTGGCAAATGGTGCAGGTCTCTCTCTCTCTGCATCACTGCATGTTTGCATACATGCAGGTTAAGCATGCACAATGGGATTTCCCATTGGGTGGGGACTTTAGTATTACAACTGACTAAAGAGTACTAAGGCAACCAAGGCAGCTTAAAACAGTTTTAACTGGTCTTAACACTTCTGACCATCTACACACAAGGAGCTACTTAACAATACCCTTTGTGCTTTGGATTTCTTTCAGCTTCCTTGCTTTGATCTATATCTCTAAGTTCAAAAGAAACCTGCACCAGATCTGTTAAACATTAAAAAGCAGTGGTGGGGAACTTGTATTTCCCCCTCCCCTCTGCACTGTCGTGTCCCTGTCTATGTTTGAGCTGGCTGCAGCAGGGGCCAGAAGTTGTCTGTCTATTCACAGAGGATAAGCAGGAAAAGAGTCACAGCCCCTCAGAATTACAGGCATACAAAGCACCGCGGGAGAGTTTCTGTTTTACACGGGGTTTCTGGAAAGCAGCTGATGCTGCCATGAACGTTCACCCTCCCTCTGGGGAGTAGAATCCCATTCTGCAAGGACATCCGCTGAAACTCTGGGGCAAAGTCTTTACCATGGGGACATTCTGTGCAAGATGGTGTTTACTGATGAACTGTGGGATGGGTCACGATAGACAGTGATGGATTAAATAAGGATGAATTCATGATGGGTAGCAAAAATGTTGGCTTAATACAATGCTGATGATGATTTTATTTCTTCCACTTTAAAGGATCGCTCATAATCTTGTCCATAGTCTTCATTTGGCCCCCCGGGCTCTCCTTCCCACCCTCCTCAAGGACTGGCATTTTGAAAAGGTTGGTGTGTCTCTAAGTGTGGTTCACTCTTGATATTCACAGTACACTGGAATAGGTAGCACATTGCTGAATTCAAAGCAGGTGCTCGAATGTCAATGACCTAATGCCCTGCCTTTCACGGGAGCTGCTCAGCAAACACAGAAACCTATTGGTTATATAAGATAAGAAATGGAATCAGTTCTCTTGACTTCAATTTTCTAGCCTGTTAAACCAAGGTGGAGAGGTGTTGGTGGCCCTCTTTGGCTTGAGCCTGTGTCACACTGTGTTTCACAGATGCTGGGGTCCTGGGAGACCTGCCCCTGTCCCTGTCTGTTGGCCTGGGAGTGGGAGCAGGGGACGGAGAGGCTCACGGTGGGGCAGGTGCAACCCGCTGCTCCTAAATATGTCATCTCATTTCTTTTCATGGTGACCTTGTAAGGTCGGGGTTCACAGGCTCTGCGGGGAGAGGGTGGCTGGCCTGGAGCCTCGGGGGACGGACAAAGAAGGTGGTGGCAGCACGCATGTGTCCTGGAGGCCTGGCCTGAGCCCTCGGACATAAGTGAGCAGAGACACCGGCGACAGCTTGGGGGAAGCACACTCATCCCCGTGCTGCCGGAACCCCAGCCTGGCTGTGGGGCAGCGGGGACAGCATGAGGACTGGCGGATTTAGGTCACACAGGTGCTGGCATCAGAAGGGACATCCAAGAGGCAGCCTAAGAGGAGTGCGGAGAACCCCATCCCCTTCTGTTCCCAGCGCTCTCCCAGTTTTCTCTAGTGACCGCCTCAAGCTTTCTCACCTTTTCTCTAATCTCAGATTGCTCTTTTGTGTAGACCATTTACTTCAGTGCCCCACTGGCAGAGACAAAGGAAACCTCGGCTTCCTTCCTCCCAACCTGTGGAATCCCGCCCTCCCTGTCTTCCCTGCCTAGTCTAGGGCCAAGCCTTCCCGGGCTCTGGGTCTCTTCATGCAGCGTCCTCTCTCTGCTCTGCAGTGCCTCCTTCTACGTGCTCCTTCTCACCGGCAGTTAAACTCACCCGAACCTTTCCCACCTGGAATGACAGCTTGTCCTTTATAGCCCAGCTTCTTCAGGTAGTACATACATCCCATGGTCAAAAAAACCCACAAATGGCGGATAACTGCCTCCCTGAGTGATATTTTAGTAGTATAATGAGTTAGGGGTTAATCAGAAGATTGCTTGAAAGACATGGATTTAGAGTGAAAAAGAATTGAATGGATTCAGCAGATATTTATCATGAACTGTGAAAGAATCTAAGGAGCCATCACCATTACCCTGTTGAGTTCACTATTTTCTATCGCAGGAATCATGGTAGACTTGTGTATTTGTAGCCGGGTGATGCCTGTTCATGTCCTTTTCTGTTTTTTCCTGTTGATTCATTTTTTTTTTCCTCACTGAATTATAAAAACCTCTTTGTATATTTGTTTGCAATTTCCCCCAATTTGTCTTTTATTACTTTATTTGTGCACTTTCTTTTTGCTCAGAAGTTCAAAGTTTTTACTTAGAATAATTTCTAAAATAATTTTTTTCAAGGGAAGCTAGAAGTCATGGTATTTTTTATAGAATGTGCTGAAATATGTTGACATTTATTTCTGTCATGTCAGCTAGGAATACTTTTACCAGAGAGAACATGTTTTATCTGAAAAAATACATTATTAAAATATGTTATCTGTTTATTCTTTGAATCATTTACTGGTGATGCTCATTTGTAGACAAGGTTTTCAGGTGTCAAAAAATTTACAAAGTATGTGTGAGAAAAACATAATCTCAAGAAAATTTTATCTGTAAACGTACTATTACTCTGTGGATTGGTAAAATATGAATTGTCATTGTATGGTTTTAGTGCAAAATATGTTGATCCATCTCACAGAAAAATGAGTGTTCCCTGTGAACATAGGTTGCAAACCCCTGTGTGATATTTCTCAATCTTTTTCTCTTTGTAGGGCCCTTCATACAACAGTTTGAAGAAATGTCAACCAAAATCTTTCAGTTAATGAAAAAAAATATATTTTGGCACAAATTTTAAAATAATAAAAATAAAGGTGAATCTTTAAAAATTTGCTCATAAACACGATAACAGTTTCATGTTGGTGGGAGGGATGATGATATTGTTTGAAATCATTCACATATGCAACTTGATAAAAAGCTTAAATGACAGCTTAGTTTCCACACTTTGTTGTTTTAGTTCCTTAGACTTTACTTCTATTGATTTAGAGGGTACAAATTCACAACGGTAAGTCATCAGGCATTGCAGCAAGCGCTGCGGAGCTGCCGGGTGGTGCTGGATTTTACGGAAATGGTGGACAGAGCTCACGGGTGACTGTGTTCAGTGCTCCATGCGGTAGATGCTAAACCTGCCAGCAGGCCACACAGATGCTGTGATGATGGAGAAGGATTCCTGCTCCAATCTGGCTTCAGTCAGCCCTAGGAAGTCATTCCTCATGTTCTGCCTTAAGCGTTTGCATAGGGTGTAAAAATATGCCCAACAACATGCCATTGGTTTTGTTCTCGAACAAATGAAAATCATCAACCGTTGGGAAAGAGCCAAGTCCATGGTCAGTGGTTTGCACAATGGCTCCTTCTTCTTAAGATGCCTGATGTCCTTTTTTTTCATATTAAAATATGAGAAATTTTGGCCCTGAAGGAATAGGTGAGACAATTCATTTGAGAACCATTAAGCAGACCCAATTGAAACAATATAAACCATCTTTACTCTATATTATTGATATCATAGAGTGATACTTTTTTGAAAAGAAGTATCAATTTTTATGCTTGAGATAATTCGGAAACAGTATAATACAACAAAATATCATTTTTTGATGTCTACTTAATGGACCCAGTACCTCATCCTCAGTATAAAATAATCTAAAAAACTACACCAACAAGAGAGAAAAACAAATTTTCTAAATGATACATTTTTGTAAAACGAGTTATAACTTCTCTCTCGAAATTATATTCTAAATTTTGAGAGAGGAGTTATAAATGCATCAGAAGCTATCTCTTCTTTGGAGACATACTCACTTAAACTTTTTGAGAATACTTGCCCTAGCTTATGCTATGTTGAAATGAAGATGAAAGCATTTGTAAACTGCAAAAAGCGATAGAAGTTCTGGCAACATATATTATAATAGTTATACCAATTAAGAAGACAGTTTCTCAATTTTTAAGTATATTCCTATCCTAGCTACCATTTGAGATATTATTATACTATATTAATGGTAACATGCTAGTGAGGTATATGTACAACTAAATTAAACAACAAAATCTTTGAGGTATATGTACAACTTTTAAAAATGTAATGACTACTAAGAATGTAATAGAATGTCTGTGAAAATCAATGGCATTTAATATTCCATTTCAAGTTTCTGAGATCTATGTAAAAATTATTTGATCACACTTTCCTCTGAAATGGCCAAACTATCAGACCACCTGTGTATGTAGACACTATTTGTAGGAATATAGCCCCATACTGATGGGATGGAATCTATCCCCACTATGAGTATAAACTGAAAAGGTCTCTTTAAAAAAAATTGTTTTTTTGAGACAGAGTCTCACTCTGTTGCCGGGGCTAGAGTGCCATCTCGTCAGCCTAGCTCACAGCAACCTCAAACTCCTGGGCTCAAGTGATCCTCCTGCCTCAACCTCCCATGTAGCTGGAACTACAGGCATGCACCACCATGCCCAGCTAATTTTTTCTATTTATTTTTAGCTCTCCAGTTAATTTCTTTCTATTTTTAGTAAAGGCGAGGTCTCGCTCTTGCTCAGGCTGGTCTCGAACTCTTGAACTCAAAGCGTCCGCTCGCCTTGGCCTCCCAGAATGCTAGGATTACAGGTGTGAGCCACTGCACCTGGCCTGAAAAGGCCTCTTGACTGCCATGACTGTAGAACTCCCCAGCCTGCTGGTCTTGCACACGACAGCTTCAATGCTTCTGAGAGCCCCTGGTCCATCTTCGCTCCTTTCAGCAGCATTGGATGTCCGGAGTCAGAAGTATATCTTATTCACGATAATTTTATGGGAGGGAAAAAATAAGGTGAAAGTCAAAGGTTTTCCCAGGGTCACAGAGCTAGTGTGATCACCATCTGATCACTTAGTTCCCACACTTCCATGTGTGGTGACATATTAATACGTTGGCTGGAACAAACCATTCTTTCCTTTTTAATTTCGCAGAAAACTCACTTAAAATTTTGTGCAGTCTTTCTTGATTTTGTTTCTTGAGTTAACTCCAGCTTTTATCATATGACATTAAAACTAGGTGTCTGAACCAAACTTATCATTGTTTTAACTTTATAGGAAAGCTCCCAAATCCGCGGAATGGGAACCTCCCATTAGCGTGGCCTTTAGGGTGGGAGGGGGAGGAAAGGTCAAAGGTCACACAGCCATGACTGAATAAAAGGGGCTGAACCATGACTCATCTGACAAGACGGTGGCCTCCTGTGAACTGGAAAAGCGTTGACTCACTAACCTATATTCCTCTCTGCTTACACTGTTAACCTGCTTTAGTGACACAGTATGTTAAGTAACCTGGATCCTTAATGTAAAAGACTTCTTTGAAAATTTTTGTTTCTTTAGTAGCTCGTGGGAGGTACATTGTCATAAGCAGGTAGGAACAAGGAGGTAGACGTTGAGAGAGAAGTCAAAAGAAATAAAATGTGGCTCTGATTACATATTCAAGGATAGAACGGTTAAAATTTTTTGGCAGTCCTACTTAGGGAAAAGGAAACCTTAGAAGAATTATCATCCAAGTGAAAGGATTCTTTGTTCGAATCTTGAATACTTATCGACCTCCGAGCTAGATGATTGAGTTTCTTTTCACTATTACAGGTTGGATGTGAAATACTCCCTCTCTCTCCGGGAGGGCTGGGATGGGGGTGGGGGAGATTCCACAGGATGCCACCATCTCCTTTCACCCTGACCGCAAGGGTGTACACAGGGCAACGCTGTGAAAAGATAAGCCCGTCTCTCTTGCCTTTACTTTGTACAAAGATTGTGGTAAAATACTTATAATGCAAAGTTTACCATCTTAATGATTTTTAAGTGTATAGTTCAGGATGTTTAAGTACATTCACACTGTTGTATCGACTGATCTCCAAATCTTGCAAAACTGAATGCTAGGATTACAGAATGCTAATTCTGTAATTATTTTTATCTTGCAAAACTGAAACTCCCCACCCATTAAACCACAATGTTCTATTTCACCCTCCTCCCAACTCCTGGCACCTCCCCCCCCATTCTACTTTTCATTTTTATGAATTGGACTACTTGAGATACTTCAAATAAGTGGACTCTTACAGTATTTGTTCTTTTGTGACTGGCTGATTTCACGTAGCATAATGTCCTCGAGGTTCATCCATTTTGTAGAATGTGTAGGAATGTCCTTCGTTTTTATGGCTGAATAACATTCCATTGTACCACATTTTGTTTATCAGTTCATCTGTTGGTGCATGCTCGAGATGCATCCACCTCTTGACTATGGTGAATAATTCTGCTGGGAATGTGAGTATGGAAATATTTCCTTGAGACCCTGTCTTCAATTATTTTGGGTGTATACCCAGATGTGGGATTGCTGGATCATATGGTAATTTTATTTTTAGTTTTCTGAAGAACTGCCATACTGTTTTCCATAGCAGTTACACCGTTTTCCATCCCCACCAAGAGAGCACAAGGGTTCCAATTTCCCCATGTCCTTACCAACACTTGTTATTTTCTTTTTTTTTAAAAATAGTAGTCATTCTAATGGGTGTAGGGTGACATCTCATTGTGGCTTTGATCTGCATTTCTCTAATGCTTAGTGATGTTGAGCATCTTGTCATGTGCCTGTTGGCTGCATGTGTATCATCTTTGGAGTAATGTCTATTCAGCCTTTGCTTTTTTGTACTTTTTCTCTATTTCAGTGGACTGCCCCCCTCATCCATATCCCTCCTTATTTATTATGCCTCATCTAGACCCTAAAAGAGGAGTTGTGAAAGAGTTGAGAAAGTGGAACAAGATAAGGTGGTGCCCAGGGGTAGGGGAGGGTGCAAAGCGCATTTCAAAGGCCCTCTCCTCTTGGGTTGCTGTAGCCTCATTCTCTTTAGCAGCTGAGACAAAGGGGGAGGCATGATCATTTATGGCAGGTGTCCTCAAACTACGGCCTGTGGGCCACATGTGGGTGTTTTTGCTCGTTTGGTTTTTTTATTTCAAAATAAGATATATGCAGTGTGCATAGGAATTTGTTCATAGTTTTGTTTTTTTTTTTAACTATAGTCTGGACCTCCAATGGTCTGAGGGACAGTGAACTGGCCCCCTGTTTAAAAAGTTTGAGGACCCCTGATTTATGGTAAGGCAAGCGCAAAGCAGCTTCTCAGAAGAGCACAGCCATTCCTGTTGCTGCAGACTGAGATAGGCCTTCCCAACAGGACCTCACCCAGGGGACACTGTGAGATGTTGAGGACAGCATTATCCTTTATCACAGATGATTTGATAGCAATTTTTTTTTTTTTTTGAGAAAGAGTTTTGCTCTCTTTCCTGGGCTAGAGTGCCACGGCATCAGCCTAGCTCACAGCAACCTCAAACTCCTGGGCTCAAGCGATCCTCCTGTCTCAGCCTCCCGAGTAGCTGGGACTACAGGCATGTACCACCCGCCCAGTTAATTTTTTTTCCATATAGTTTTAGTTGTCCAGCTAATTTCTTTCTGTTTTTTAGGAGAGATGAGGGTCTCACTCTTGCTCAGTCTGGTCTTGAACTCCTGGCCTTGAGCGATCCTCCCACCTTGGCCTCCCAGAGTGCTAGGATTACAGGCGTGAGCCACCACGCCCGGCCGACAGCAATGTGCATATGGCTCTGTCTTCAGCAACCCTCAGCAGCAGGCAGTGACAGGAGGCCCAGAGGAGTCTCACTAAAGACAGTCTGCAAAGGAGCCAAACCCATGTGTCCCCTGGTCCTTACTCTGGGGGTGTGGCTTGATCTGGAGGTCAGCTGGGCATGTGGAGGAGTGGATGAACTGCAGGGTCTCCGTGAAGGTCACACCTTCCAGGGGCTGGAAGATTGCAGCCTCAGCCTTCAAAATATGTTCTCAAGCAAGCTCCTTGAGGGGAGTGCCAATATGACTGGTGAAGAGCAGACACAGAGTGTACGCCCCGTATCTTCCTATCCAAAATAGGACGCTTTGACAGGCACATGCTGTCCTGGCTTGGCTTGAGCATGAGCTCTGGATTTGGGAACTGATCCCTGGAGCAGGGGTGGGGAATCGGGAGGGAAACAAGGGAGGAGTGGGTGCCAGTGCAAGCTGCCTTATCTAGTCAGTCAACACCACTGGCTGAGGCTGTGGACAGTGTTCTAGAACTGTCCCCAGGAAGCGCACTGGGCTTTGGCTCTAGTTCCCCACTGGTCAAGGGTTGTTCCAAAGGTGCCAACTCCGTCACACTTCAGGGCTGAGTGTGTGAGTGTCCAGTGGCTGCCATCCTGCAGCATCAGCAGAGGGGCCCTGGGGTGGGAGTTAGAGGCTCCTGGCCTGGTGGGCAGGGGCTGTCAGAGGCACCTGCACAAAGCTGGTTAGAGTTTTCTCTGAGCTGTTGACCCAGAGACAAAGCCAGGCAAGGACATGAAAAGCTTGCACGTTTGTTGTGAGCCCACACTAATGACCCTCATCTAACTTTAAAGGCCCTGTCTCCAAATACAGTTGCACTCTGGAGGTGGGGTTAGGACTTCAACATATAAAATTTTGAGGGGACACAATTTAGCCTAT